TCTATGCACTTATGAAACCAGGCGGTGTTCATGGCTGAAATGAACACAACAATGAGAACCAAAAACGGTTAATGGTTGGTTGTGTGACTTATGGTCGTCTAGGTATACACCAAATTTCGACGGTTCAAAGATATCAAATCTACCGATTGACCGAGTATATCCGACATAAGTTCACTTCGGAAAGTTCAAAGGGAAACCTACTTATCCAGATGCAATTAATCCTTGCTTGTGAATCACACCGTTTTTTCATACATATTTCCGTGATATAGTCATTCCCCATTCATGTGGGGAATTGTTGGGGTTTTATGTATTTAAATATATTAAATATGTAAAAGATGGTGAATGGGAAATGGAGGAAAATGAAATTTTTGAGTGAAATTTTAAGTTCTCCCCCTTGGCAAAGGGACATTGTCCCATATTGGAAGAGGAAGAGGTTTTTTATGGGTATAGAAGCAATTGCTCTTCTTCTAGCTCTTAAAGAGTTGAGAAGAAGGCAAGCCTCGCGCCATCGTCGTCGTCGTCGCTCGGCTCGGATTCGGATTCGGATTTGGTCAAATGATTGCATAAGAGCATTCCGAATGCTAAAAAGTTTCGGTTTTTTGGACCAAATTTATTTGTTAATAGTAAAATATTAACAGAAATGTTATTAAATATTTATTTTAATAACAATTAAAATAAATATTAATATTAAATCCAATCCGTTTTTCAGTTGTGTAACTGAAAATTAAACTACCCTCTTTATTTTACCTCTTTATTGTTGAGTAAATAGCCATTTATGTTATGGCATTTATGCTATGGCCGTTTTGCATAAACAGCCATTTTGAAGAGTTGTACCTCTTCAGATTTCAGCCCAACTTTGGCTATAAATACAAGACTATTCTGCTCAGAATTTCCATACGAATTTTCTAAGTTCTTCTCCTTCCTTCTGCATATTTTAACTTCAAAGAAAGCAACAGTAAGTGTGATTTGCTACCGAACTTTGTGTTCGCTGAAACACTGGAGTTTGAAGTACTACTACACCAGTGTGTAATTCGTTCTATCCTGGGAGGAAATAATTCATAACCTTGGGTACTAGGAGGGGATTAAATTCCTTAAGGAAAAACTGTGAATTCATTGGGCTCGAATTAAAATTCTGTTTTTGTTTATGTTTATTTATATTTTCCAGAATTATTTTACAAATACAGTTTAATAACATTTTTTTGTGAAGCTTCTTCTTAATGTTCTACTCTAGTTGATCAGAATTATTATTATTATTATTATAGGGTTTTCTTTGATCTGTAATAAAAGGAAGTAGGAAATTCCTTCAAAAACCACCCACCCTCCCTGCACCAATTTCCACTGTGATATGTCACAAGGGACAGCTAAAAGTACAAGCCGATATATGATGCTACAACGAAAATGCAGGGTAATATCCCGATAATTTTTTTAGTCACAGACAACAGTTGCACTAATAAAAAACAGTACTATGATCCTATTTTTCTTTGCGCATATAGAAAGTGACAACAAATGTAGGTCCATAAATGTGAAGGAATCTTACTTTTCTCAAATTTTTTATATAAAAGAATTAACTACTGTAATTAATTAAAACAAAAAAAAATGAGGAGGAAGCAGATTTTAACAAAAATTACCTTTGTAAAGTACATGTCGATGACTTGAAAATCTATATCGTCACTTTTTCCTTTTGGGAAGAAGAAGCAATTTTAATGTATGCATTATATCCTTTGTCGCTTGTTGCAAAATTGCAGTGCATTTTCCTCTAGCTATGCCGCCCATTTTCCGAAATCTCAATAAATTCTGAGTGTTAAATACAATTGAATCATCAATTAAATTTATTAAGAAAACATTATTAAGTACTAGCTGTAATTTACTGAATCAACCTTATTTGTTTCCTTGACTATAAAATGATACTCCCTCCGGTCCCCTTTAATTGATTTTTTGGTTGTTTTAACACATATTAAGCAATTCATCTTTTAGCATTAATTAACACTGAAAATATTAACCATAATTTGTTCATTGAAAATACAACAAATATTCCTAGGCCAAGGACAACTTTGGAAATATGACGTTAATTCTTTTTTGATATTTAAAAAAATTAAATAATTATGGACCACAAAAAAAGGTCAAAAAATCAACGGTAAAGAGGCAAAAATACCCTTGAACTATCGGAAATAAATCACCTTTACCCTCCGTTAGTTTTGGTATAAAAAAAGTCCTTGCCGTTAGTTTTTTGGCCCACTCTTACCTCTCAAACTAACGGACCTCCAACTTGGACTGAAAATAACTTTAAAATAATATACTTGCTGAGGTGGATGCTTATTTGGACAAATTTCACAAATTTTACCTCGTTGCTGCAAACGTGATAACTAGAGATACTTTAAACAATATACCTACCACGATAATCAGTTTCAATATTTTGGATGAAATTGAAAACAAAATTAGTTTCAATATTCAAACAAGATTCATGTATAAACCAGAACCAATTCTCAACTATTTAAATAACGATAAAAACTTGATGATTCCATCTCCCACCTCTTCTCTTCTCTCTGCCTCTCATCCATGAAGCACATAAAGAATGAAGAACGAATAGCATGGGTGACCAATATTTAAATGATTGTTTAGTTTGTTACATAAAGCGTGATGTATTCACAAATGTAAGTAATGATGTCATTATGGATCGTTTTCAAAATATGAAAACTCGTCAAGGATAATTGTAAATAGATGATGTATATTTATAATATAAATATTATTGTTGGAAGTCTTATGGTTGCGTCAATTAGTTATAGTTATTATACTTTTTCCATTTGATCGATTTGTCTGTATAAATAAAAAAGATGAATAACCTAATACGCTCACTAGGACATAAACAAACAGACTCTAGTACGTAACCACTTTCGTTATCATCTTATGCATTCCACTTTTTCATATCAAATTTAAAAGTACTCATCAAAATCAAATTAAACTAGCGACCAAATTTGAGGAAGAATTAAGAAGAAGAGAGGTGAGGGAGAGAAAAACTGAGAAAGTTGAAGTATGATGGAGACAGAGGCGGATGTAGTTAGCAACGAACGGGTTCAACTGAATCCATAACTTTCGACACGATGTAAAAATTTATATATAAAAATTCACTAAAATTGCAAAAATAGTGGATATGAACCCATAACTTTAAAAGCATAATGGGTTCAATGCTAAAAAACCTTAAGAGTTAAACTCATATGATTTAAATCCTGGATCCCGCCTCTATTGGAGATATGGCGGAGTTATAGTGGTTGAGATTTTTTTTGGGTCTACGAGGGATTATTTCCAAGCTGCAAAGTTGAAAAAAATGGTGCACGGCCTTTTTCCTCTTTTTTTTTTTGACTTGTATGTCCAACTCAGCAATAAAAAAAATTGTTATGTGAGTTTTAATATGACTTGGAGGTCTGTTGATGCGAGGGGTAAGAGTGACCCAAAATAACAAACAGCAAGGACTTTTTTGATACCAAAAACTAACGGAGGGTAAAAGTGATGTATTTCTAATAGTTCAGGGTATTTTTGGCCCTTTTGAAGTGGACCGGATGGAATAATTACTTTCATATCTCTTCAATAGCAAGAGTAAAATTGAAAGAAAAAAAATTGTTATATTTTTTAAAGCGACGGATATTTTGAAACACTTTTGGGGCAAAACCGACATTTAAAATTGAATAGAGGGAGTATCACTTTTTTTTCCCATCACATCCATAACAATATTTCTCAATTTCATGTTTTTTCTACATTCCCTACCAACAAATCCTTTAACCAGAGGTCTCGAGTTCGAGTCTAGTGTATGGAAAAATCTTTGGTAGGAAGCGCTCCCCCTTCCCCCTCGAATGGGCCCCTACGCGGTGCGAATCCGAATATAATCGGGCTCCAATGCGGGTACCAGATACCGGGTGGGAAACCAAAAAAAAAATGGTGGAATTTATTCAAACTCTATATAAATGTTCAGCATCCAAATTCCCAAATTCATGAATCTAACCTAAATTCTTAACTAGTTCATAATCTTGTTCCACACTTAGGAACTCAATTCATAATTTTTGAGGTGAGAAACTGTCCAAACCCAAGCTATATTTGGCATACAACAAATTTAACTTTACCTATATACCATTTGGATACTTGATGGATCTGAATTTAGTAATTTGGTCCAGGCGGTCTTCCATTTCATCAAATTAGACTGAAATGAGTTATAATTCAATAATTTTCTCTCAAAAGACTAAGCAAAACTTGAAATAGGTTGACCAAATTTAGTAGACATAAAAGAACGATTCAACCAGTGGCATACGCATGATTTTACATAAGTTGTATTGACACGTTAAGAAATAGTGAATGGATACTTGTCAAAACTCAAAGAGCAGGGCGACAAGCCCCCAACAAAGAGAGTGGTCACATCGAGTATGTCTCTCCTATTCCCGACATGCTATGGTACCCCGGAGTGGCTAGGAGCGAGTCAAGTCTTATCGAATCTACTCAACAAAGAGCAGTACAGACGTAGATGATATTATCACGACCCCTCTTTTTGTACCGCTAGGGATGCTTAACGTCACTTTGTCAAATGGCATTACTTTCCCTCTATCCTGGTGAACAATGTTCCACTCATTAGGCGGGGGCAGGATTAGAACCTGCAATCTTCGGGTCATGAGCCTGAGGAATTGACCAATTTCTCTACCCCATACTCTCTTTCTTTGCCGTAAAGTGGATGTGGTTTCGAACCACACAAGGATTTTCAGTCCAGCTGAGCTACGTGAACCACTTTTAAATAATTCTGCCTTCTTTATGTAAATTTGACTGCAGCATAAGTTTTCTTTTGCATGTACACATACTTATTCAAAAGTGTTTCATCTGCACTTGTCAGTCAAAAATCGAAACAGCCCGAGTTTTCTTGCAGCTACTATGCGTCAAAGAATCGCCCTACATAACCCCAGTAAAATTAACTGATGAAATGCAACCACCTGGAACTGTTCTCCCTGCATGGAAAAACTGCTAGGATCAGGTCTCTGTGCGTTTATCAGTTTAGGAGTGAGACAAGGATACTCGAAATTTGTTTTTATCTCTGAGCCTGAACTTGCATTTTCAACAAAGCTGTTGAACTTGGCATTAAGGTAATACACGGCAAAACACCAGAAAAGGAAGTAAGATAACAAAGACAGGAAACAAGAAAGAATCAAGGCACAAGCTTTAAAGAAGCCAAACGAATTGCAATAGAGGTGAAAGAGCAAAATTGCAATAGAGTAGCAATTTGGGCTATACACACATATCTTAAAATTGATACTTGAGTTGAACAATCCCAAAAGTAGCTTAATTAATATAATATGCCTACATAACGAAACCAACTTGGTTATGAAAAACCAGAAAGAATGAATAGTACTAACAAAACAAACAAAAATATGTCACCAAAGATAGTTCATGCTAAAAGTAATTTGCCTCTTTGAATCAACTGACTCGTTTGTGATAAGATAATACAAAAAAGTATGAAGCATCCTTGTCCACAAATACAAAAAAGTATGCACACAACAGTTCATATACATTATTGACTTTTTCTCTTTTGGTGTTATAGACAAAGAATGGTATAACAACAAGAAGAAATAAAGTAAAGTTACTCTCTTTGTAGCAGTTTTGTGAGCTAATGAAAATTCACCTAGCTATCATGGGGAGTCACAAGCCATCAAAACCTAACATCAACTTCATCAGTTTATCCAAAATTGCATTAGTTGGAATCCATCTTACAGCATCATTCACAAGTCAGGAGAAACTTCCACCAATCTATTCAAATTTCAATACTATTTGGATAACATCTTTCATCACTCCAATTAACTTTTGAAACGAAATCCACCTACTAAAGGCAGTTACAGATGGTAGTCTTAGGTTGTCTAATAACATAAATCACTTCCTGGCCTGAGAGATCATGAGGGAGAACGAACCTCAACTTCATCTCGTACTCAGCTTTCTCCGGATTCACAATTTCAGGTTCTGATTTGAGCATAAAAAGTTATACTTGTTGGAATCCTTTAACTCACCATGGTTAAGATGGAGAATCAATAGACAAAAACTCATTGTTGATATCTACATCACCCATTGATGAGCTCCTGTAAATAGGGGAAAGAAAACGAAAAAGGAAAAAGTAAGAAAGAATGAGAAGAAAAAATATATTGGTTTGGAAGAAGACTTAGTAGCTAATAGAAGGAGAGAATTACATAAAAAGAGAAAACACAAATTTCAACACCAACTAGGGGAAAAAACAAGGCATGAGGTATATACCTGTATATGAGCTAAAATCCTGGGTTTGCAGGAAAGAGTTGCAATGTTTCTGAAGAGCTGGCCAGTCTACATGTTGCTGAAGATTATCAAAGACAGAGCTCCAATGAATATTAGAAATGTGACCTTTGTTTCTTAGAAGCGAAGCAGCTGGCTTCACTGGTCACGGAGTCATGTTGTTCACCATTGTCATATCTGCTCCTCCAATGCAATATTCTGTAACAAGGCCTCAAGCTCAGGTTCTTCTTTATACAACAAACGAAGTCCATAATCCTTCATTACTCCAGAAAAAGATAGCCTAATAAGCCCATAGTCGTTTGGTGTTTTTCCATTTGCCTTAGATGTATCCCATAAGCCAGCAAGAGGTACCAAGAAAAAATTAATATTATATTTTGTATCACATTCTGAATGGTTGGATAAGGCAAGTTTCTGGGTCATCCACAACATCCCATCATCACATACGGGAATCAATTGAGTTGTGGTGTCAATTAAGCTGCCTGAGTAATATACAGCAAATCCCAAGAATTTATCAGGTATATACCAATTTCCAGGCAAATTGACTGATACACCACTATCCATTCCCTGATAGAGGAACCAACTTGGGATCTTCTTCCCAAGATGCACACTGGTAAATGCTCTTAGTGACAAGGAATCTGAAGCAGAGATGTCATGCTGCACTGACGAGATATTCTGAAACAACGAATTACAGATCAAATCATTGCTCCAATCTGCATATATTGTATCTGATTCTGGTGGAAGTTCTGGCAGCTGTGTAAGCCTCTTGCAATTTCTCAAGTCCAAGATTCGAAGAGCACCAAGTTGGGCTATACTTCGAGGCAAATGCTCAAAATTATTACCACTGAGATACAGTTCTTTCAAAGAAGATAGGCATCCAATGTCTTCCGGAAGTCCTTCATCTATTAGATTGCAACAAGTGAGATCCAGATGTTCCAATGACCGTAATCCTTCAGCCACTGGAGGGAACAAAAAGTGCACTCCATCATGGAGGCCTCCAAACTTCAAGATTTTAAGTTTGTTCAAGCGTACGATGGTAGACGGAGGTCGTGAAATTAGAGCATACCTGGCATAAAACTCCTCCAAGTTTTCTAAATCCCCTATCTCTTCTGGCAAGCTTTCAAGTTTTGTGCAGCCCGACACATTTAGACTAACCAAACTTTTCAACCTACAGATGCTGCTTGGAAGAGCTACAAGGTTTTTCATAGCGCTCAAATCTAGGAAGGTAATATGAGTTTGGTACTGAATAATAGATGATGGTAGTTCCCTTATCCCAGAGCGTTTCATGTGAATCTGTATCTCCCGCTTCATTCTCCCATGGATTTCTGGAAATTTCTCTAAACTAGAGCAAAAATCTAGATCCAGATATTCAAGAGATTCCACGTTAACACATGGAAACCAATTAAGGCGTCCACAAGACTCCAAATTTAATCGAATGAGTTTTCTGCAAAATCCCAGGGAATGGTGCACCTCTTCAAGATCACGACATTCCTCCAGATTCAAATACTCCAAATTTGGCATCCCTGTGAAATCTGGTGTTCGCACTAGGCTTTCAGAGTATCTGAGATCTAGCGTCCGTAGAGACGACAATTGCTGTTCAGAATACAAACATAATGAGATAGAGAGAGAAAAAAAAGAACCTATTTTGTTGCTCCGCTTGTATTGGTGGAAAAAAGGCATGACACGTGGACTACCGTCAAGGTGACAAGTGGCACTTTCAATCAAGAAAATTAAAGAATTCAAGAAGGCGCAGGAGAAACACCCCCGGTGTTTCTTTAGAGAAGGAATCGGTCCTGACAGCGGGAAAAAAAGAAATAGGGACGAAATGGATAAAGACCATAAAGAGGGAAGGTACATGAATCTGTTATAAATAAGGAAGAGATATCGACGCTGATCGTGGTTACGAGAAATCCTCAGTCATTAATGTTGCCGTTACAATTATATATGGTAACGGGTAATCAAGGCAATTAATGTCATTAACAAGCCAGAATTAAGTAGGAAAACTGTTTTAATTATGTACCCGTATATAAAGACTCGGTCCTCATTTGTAATGGGATCTGAAATTTTTATCAATATATGCAATTATTCTTTTACTTTATTCAAAAGGTTCAAACCGCAATTTTGGGAGAGATTAGCGGTCTACTTTGAGTTTTCTTTCCTTGTCTATTATTTTCATTATTCTTTTTATTCTTCGGACTACCATGAAAGTGAAGTAATTTTGGTTATCATTAATCCGATTTCTTCTTGACAATGACTTTGACCGAGAAATCTATTTTTGGATTAAACACCGCTGGATTCCAATAATAAAATATTTGGCTAGTGGGGCTATCTATGAATGTAGAAACTATTTTGTTTTTTCATTTGTATTTGTGGGCATCAAATGACCTCTGTTTTCTTGAATTCTTAATTACTTGTTGCTAGTGTTCCTAAAAAGTACTCCATTTATTACTCCCTCGACAACAAATGAATGATAGCATTTGAGGGGCAACACATTATTTTGTATGAAATCAGAAATTTATTTTTTATATATGGAAAATTACTTGTTTCGAAACTAAGTAAAAGTAAATTATAATTAAAATAATATTGCTAAATTCAATTAAAATTGATTGAAAAAACCTGTAGCAAAAAGAAAAGTGCTTCAAAGAAGGGTGATATAAAATGGGGAAACCTAAATGTTAAATCCGGAAGCAATGTATGAATGTGTACACATCATTCTAGAAAATAGTTGTACAGAATAAACTCCTTTTGTTTTACTAATAAGTATTCCTTCGGTCCCACTATGTACAACCTAGGATGAAATTTTATATGAATCTAATCTTACTATGAGAAATAATTGAATGAGTTTTTAAATTGAGCTTCTTAGTTAAAATGATGATGGGAAGATTTGGAGAAAAAAAGACATAAAGATCTTACAATAGTAATGAGAACAACCATAAATAATACAAAATACAATAATTTTTTGGAGATGGAAATACATTAATTTGAGCTTATGCAATTAATAACTTTTGTCCATTCAAAGACATGCATCATAATTCTAGCAAAAATAGGAAGTACCTCAAATAATACGTGAAAAAAGCAATAATATTTGTTCATTATCACTAAATTAAAGGACAAAAATAGTTAGAGAGAAATATATAAGTAAAATAGAACTCAACAATTGTACCTTTGCTTCCGTCCATAAATAACACAGTGAACTGGATTTGAGTGCAAGATGAACAAGCTTTTTGGGTTCAAATTCAGCTGGCAACGACTCCCAAGGATAGTCAGTCCAGACAAACCAACGCAAGCTGTTGGGCAGATACTCAATGGAACCATCACAAGGCCACGACATCTCTATGTTTAATATCCTAAGCTTTTTCATATTTTTCATGGCCTCTTTGCCAAAGCGTAATGTAACATAATGGTAATAAGGAAACCAGATTGCTTCCATTTTCGTGGTCCCCTGGTAAGAAGATCATTAGTCTACAAAGTATAATATCAAACGTTGTATAAAATCCGCTTGCTAATATGACTACTTTCTCACGCTTTGCAACGCCAAAGTATAAGATGCAATATTAATTAGATTCTTTTTAAGAAATACTAATGTTACTTCAGAAAAATACTTTTTGCAATTAATTCTATAGTTTTATTCTCTATTATTACATTTTTCTTAGAAGTTCATTAGAGTCAAGTGTATAAGTTTTTCGTATTGTGATAGAAAGTAATTGTAATTGAAACAATACCAATAAATTGTAACTTTCCATAAAAAATAATGGTAAAGTGAATATCTGATTGAGTTATTATGTAATAAAATGTCATAAAATTTTCAAGTTAATCCAAAGAATGACATTGGATCAAACAGATTAAGTGGCCACTAGACTAATCCATCGCTTAAAAATATAAGAAAACCGAATTAGACAATGTAAATTAAAGAGTCTACTTAACGAAATAGGCAATTAATGTCTTTTTTTACTAATTAGGCAATTAATATTACTTTTGCTTCTCCTAACTAAAGGGAACAACTAAAATGTTGTACCTGCAAGAGTATGAAGTAAGATGAACAAATAATTGGAATTGACTTCCCTATATGTTTTTGGAATATGAATATTAGAAATAAATACTAGTATTACATTGTTTAGCTTACTTACTGTATTGTTCATCATCACTTCTTCGAAATCCTTGTCGAGCCATAATCTGCTGCGTTCTCCCGGATTCTTTTGCAAGTTCACTATATATTTACCCATATCTTGCATCAAGTCATGCATTTGAATCTGATCATTTTCAGAGATGGACACAAGAGATTTGTCAATTAAGACACGCAATCCGTATTCAACTGCACAATGACAGCTCTCAAGAATTTGCATGGCGTACTCTTTTTTTGTCCCTCGGAAGAAGCATGCTATATCCAGAAAAATCTCTTGTATGGGCTCTATTAATCCATCATAACTAATTTTGAGCTTTTTAACAATTTCAGAATTAGAGTTATTTTTCATGTGCTCTATAGCACTTTTCCATTCAGTTAGTCCTAGGTTATGCAGCAAAGAACCCCACACTCTGAGGGCTAAAGGAAGGCCTTTAGCATAATTTACGACTTCCAATGAAAGCTTCTTAAAATGCTCATTTGGAACCTCTTTTTTGAAAGCATGCTGATAGAACAATTGAATGGATTCATGATTAGGTAGTGCAGTCACTTCATATATTACACCATTCTTCCCCATCAAATGCTTGTCTCTAGTTGTTATAATAATTCTACTGCCATTACCAAACCAATCAAGATCACCTGCTAAATACTCCAAATAATGATCTTTATCATCTATGTCATCAAGCACAATTAGGACCTTCTTTGAACGAAGCCTACTAGCCATTTGGTGCTTTCCGTCCTCCTTATTGTTGTAATCAGCTTTTTCCTTTAAAAGTTCAGAGAAAATAATATTTTGCAGAGAATGCATTCCACGTTTGTTTTCTTTAATATTCGCAAGGAAACAAGCACCATCAAATTGATAGGAACTATCCCTTCTTACTAAGAGAATATCAAACATAGCTCTAGCTATTGTCGTTTTACCGACTCCCCCCATGCCCCAAATCCCCACAATCCGAACATCATTGATTCCTATCCNCCAAATCCCCACAATCCGAACACCATTGATTCCTATCCCTAGTAAGGATTCTATTTTCTCTAAATGAGTATCTATTCCAACAATGTTTTGCAAATAAGATAAAGAAATCTTGCATAATTTGGACGAGATTTGATCAACAATCTGTCGAATACAGTCTGATTCAGTCCTACAAAAATAAGAAGATTGCCGATATATACAGGTAATTAAGTCAAGAATTACAAGAGGTATTTCACACTGTAGAGTGCAGAATTATGATAAAAAGGACTATGCACATAAATCAATCTCTTGAATTACCAATCAAAATATTATGTTTCCGCCTTTTAATTTTTATTTTTGTAAATATGATAGATTTATTTAGCTAGAGTTTGGACATAGATTTGGTTGAAACTTGAAAAAATAAAATTACAAAATAAGTTTTAGAAGTTGAAGTTGTGTTTGGACATGCATTTTATTTGAAAAAAAAACTTGAAATTTTGTGCGTGGAAGAGAAAAATTCACCAAAAGGGGGTCCTAAACCAGTTTTTGGGAACTTGAAAAAAAATTAAATTTGTTTCAAAAATTGTCATGTTCCATGAAATAAACAGTGTTTTCATGTTTTTTTTAAAAAAACTAGCCAAAATATATGGCCAAACGAGAGCTTAGTGTCGATTCCGTTTAACTCATTTTTGGAGGTATAGATTCTTTGTTCTATAGTAGAATATGTATTAGTCTTCACATAATCATCCAAAACTGAATGGAAATTACTCCATATTTATAAGCAGTTATGTGTTTTTAACTCACTTGTCACGAATATCACAACCTTTGAGATTGGCCGCTGCAGTTAAAGCAATCCTCCATCTTTGCATTCCTTCGACATCATCCTTATACTTTGTTTCATGTTTGGAAAATGCTTCAGCAAAGCTCTCCCTCTGGTTCCGAACATGTGATGGATCCACATCATAGAAGACCGGTATGACAGTTTGTCCAAATTGAGTCTTGACATCCATGATCTTCACTAGTTCATTCAAGCACCACCTCGATGTTGCATAATTTTTTGAGAAAATGATGACTGCACATTGAGACTCTTCGATAGCTTTACATAGTTCATCCGAAATGGATGCGCCATGCTCTAGCCTTTTATCATCTTGAAAGGTTTTTATTCCCCTGATATCCAAGATTTCGTACAGGTGACTCGTAAATGTTTTCCGAGTATCTTCACCTCTAAAACTTAGGAAGACATCGTAGTTCCATCGAGGAAACTGTGAAGTACCAGAAGCAGAAGATGATGCCATTGATTCAATTAATTATCTGAAAAGAAAAAATAACCCAAACGTGGATAAATTGTAGTGTTGTGGTAAGAGATAAACTGATGATAATAG